CTGAATGACGGGTCAGCGGCTTAGGCCTGGGCGGGGGCTGCGCTGCTTGGACCGCGCCGGGAAAATACCGCGCTCTAGTTTCAAATCACGTCAGGTCTCGAGATACCGGCTTTGCTGCGACCAACCTGGTTTACATGGTGATTGTTTCCGTACAAACCCCCTTCCGCCGAGGAGGGGCACGTAAGCCCCACCTCACTCACTTGGCCACAAGCCAAGAACTCCACAATGTGTTTCTCTTAGTGCTGTTACTGTCTGGAATACAAATCGGTTTTGACCTAAGCAAACGCTAATTACCCTATCAGCTGGAAATCTCTGTGAAAATTAGTTCGGTTCTGCCACTCCTCTCAGAAGAAGCACTATACAGAAAAGTAATAAATTAAGAAATTCAGGAGATTTTTGCCCTAAGTGTAATGCAATGAGAAATGGAAAAACACTTAGGCAGGATGAAACATGAAATGGGTTAAGCATGCAGCAGTGCAAATATAAATCAACAGTAAGTCTTTCCCATCAGCAGTAAACAGTCATGTAATCGCTCTGTAAAAAGCAAATACAACTATACATATGTTGAACGTGACTGTTTGTTAATTCAGTAACATACTGTATTCTGTTAATGTAAATGTATTCTGTATTATTAACTTCAGTAATGCTAGTGGGATCTAAACAAGGAACTTAATATAGATGTCATCAAAAGCAGAATTAAAAAAATTAATTGCAAAAAACTTAATTACTATTACCCTGGGTACTCATAACTTTGTAAGTAAAAAGATACAGTATCCATTCTAGACCACAATACATTCCTAGTTCCCTTGCCTCTGTACACCTATGTGAGCCATTTCTCACCCGTGTTGCATCTCCGTCCTGCTTTATCATATCCATTCCAGGCAGCTGGTTTGGAAAAAGGTTGCCTCCCCTCATAGCAGGATCATTAACCTATTGGTAACAAGATATTAAGGAGAATGAATTAAAAAATACATCAGGAAAAGGGCTGGGAATTAAAAAGAAGCAATATAAATCACTATGCTACAGTTATATACCAACGTCTGCTTTTGAGATGATGTTGCAATCAGGGAAGTGACTATACAGCTGAGCACCCTCCTTGTGCAGCGTGTGTTTGACTCACATTATTCTGCTTCACAGTCAACAACAAAGATTTTATTCCTGATATTATGACCCTTGCACATTATTTTACAAACCAGACTCCATAAATTAGGTCAGTGTTATTTGAAGAGCACATGCCTGCTATGCAAGTCCTGAAAGCAGAAACCTGTAACTGCTTTCCTAACCTCAATAACACACAGCTTTTCTGCTTGCAAACCACCACACAATTTTTTTTCAAAGCTTGATGAGATAACATGCAGGCTGAATTATCCCATCTATTGACTTAGTTTTAATGACACTTCTTTTTTTTTTTTTTGCTCGTAAGCAATGGGAGAAAGATAGCTTTAAATGGGAAAACCTGCAGCGGCATGCTTTCCTAAAGGGATGGTCTCAACAATTTTCTGAACACAGCCCCGGGAAAGTATTGAAGCTGTGTGTTACTGCACAACCAAAGGGTCTGTCATGCTTAGTTATGTGGAAAGAGCGGCTTGCCAAATTTACAGCATTGCTTTCTTAATCAAAGGATTAATCTCACCATGTAGGAACTGGTATAAAATACAAAACGCAGCACTTCAGCACGGTTCCGAAATACTAGAAAATTCAGCTTTCCTTAGAAGTTTTACAGGGAAAGAAACCTCTTCCTAGGGAGTCTTTGTTGACTCGATTCTCTCTGTTACTTCCCTCAGACTAGATCGATGTGATAATAGTGAAGATATGCCTCTCCAGATTTTGCTGGAAGGAAAAAGACGTTTTCTGTGTCACCTGCCCTTTAGGAGACCAGACTCGTGTTGCCAAGGAGAGGAGATTCTGCCACTGCACAACCTCACTTCAGCTACAGCAACCTGCTGCAGCAAGAGGGGAAGACTGTCTTGAATTTACCACGTCAAAGTCTTCTCGTTTCAGGTCCTCCTGACTCTTGTTTCTGTTGCTATTCACCGATTTTGCGAAACATTGCAAAGCTAAATGCAATCACATGTGACCTACTTAAAGAGGTGGTTTTGAATGCTGCCAGAGACAAGCCTGCAGTTCAACAGGAAAGGTTAAAAACTTAAATATCTTTGCCGTGGGAATTTCAGCTCTGAAGAAATTGATTGGTTAGCGCTGCAAGCCTTCTAGTGATGCCTTCTGCTTCTTAATACGAATGGGCAGATTTTTAAATGTGAATCTGAAAATTTACATCAGAAGGGAAGAGAACCACACTATTTTGTTCGGAAAGACAGAAAGAAAGTAGATAGCTTTGATGCTTAAATCTACATGCATTTGACTACGCAACAGAATCCACGTTTGAGAAGTGTTTTCTGCTATTGATCAACATTCATCAGAACGCACAGGCACAAATGCCTCTTCTGTTTGTTCAGTAGACACAGGATGGAAGAAATAAAAAGCAGAAATAAAAAACTATACTGAATCAACAGCAGTTTTGGAAGAAAAAGATGAGTGTGTGATTTGCATCATGGCAGAGCTAGAACAGGTATGGAAAAGGAAGGTGGTTCCAGGCTGCACACCACTAAAGCAGCAAAGGCACCAGTGAAACTTCTATCACAGAATCTCTTTGCCAGCGATGATGCAAGAATCCTGACTGGCACGGTAACAGATAAAAAAAAAAAATATCTACTGTTCTGTTCTATGAATACATTTGCTTCAGAAGTCCTTGAAACAAAACACCTCACATTCAAACATTAACTTTTCTGACTGCAATAACAATTCCATCAGAAAAGTATGGAGCAGGACAAAGAATTGGAAGGGTTTTTATAATTTTCCAAAGACAGGTCGAGTGGCATTATCAGATATGAAATCTGCCGAAAACAAGACTGAAGATGTTTTACAATTCCTTTGCAATTAAGTACATTAATACAACCTCCTCCTAATAACGCAGAATTATATACAAGGCATCTAATAAGAAAAGTTTCCTACCACTCCACAGCTCCTTTCATCCAGTATGCTGAACAAAATCAAAACACAGTTTCAAAATAACTCTTTGTAGATGCCATGATAATTCTGGCCTGGGGAGTACTGCACCTGTGCAGATTAATAAGCATCTACTCTGAGTAGACACCTAGTGGTTTATTTCATAAACTGAAAAGTCTCTTCTCTTGCATAGGTTTCAAATTGCTTAGTATTTCTGAGCTCTGGATATGTCTGTATGATACATTATAGTGCCACAAAGAGAGACAGGAGACAGAGCCAAGCAAACCTGGTTGGTACCAAAGGTGATATACTTGCTTCTCGCCAGGTAAATAAGCCCAGGTGCAGCTTTTTACTAAGAAGTAATACATATTACTTCCAAAACCATCCAATAACATATGAAGTGCTACCTTTTTTTTTCCAAAGCTGAAACACATTCGTAATGTAACCACTGTTATTCACTGTGGTTAGAAAGAGATGAGCATGTGAAGTTAAAATTATGTATTATGGAACAAAAAATGGCAATGAATAAGTAAGTAAAAGTGTAGGTGACAGTATAAAAAAAGCCAAAAGAATGAAGAAAATGGCAACAGTCAGCAGAATTAAAGAAAATATAGTAATTTTGAAAACCACCAGTTACAAGAAAAAGTTTAGCGCAGCCTAGGTCAATTGCTAAATAAAGATGCCAAATCATGAAACACTGCCTTGAACACAGAAAAAAAATAAACCAATTTTAGCATTAATATAAGCATTTTTATTTATTCCTGTTTCTCAGACAGAAAACGTGAAGCAGACAGCAAACATTCCTGAGGACTAAAAAGTACTGTCTTGTGGCCCAGAAGTGGCCCCTCAGCTGCCAGTTGGCCACCTCTGACCTAGATGAAACCTAAAACATTTGCTTGAGGAGTTTGCAGATGACACAGTGCTGGGGTGGTAAATCAGGAGAAAAAGAGGTTACTGCTGCAGACTGAGCCACAGCACTAAGGCAGGCAATACATTTGGGAACAAAGAATGCAGGTTTCATCTATGTAGAACGTCCTGGGGAGGATTTGGGGATCACCATAAGGGTTTCAGTATGTGCTCTCCAGTGTGACGTTGTCACCAACAGAGCCAAGGCAACCCGTGGGTTGAAAGAGAAATTACAAGCAGAACTTGACTCTGCACAGCTTTGGTACAGTCAGTTAAATCACCATCTCTGGTTACTCTGTTCATACTTCTAGAAGGAGGTTAGAACAACAGTGCCTGAAGTAGATCCACCAAAGGGACTGATGGGCTGAAAAACAAATGTTGAGATGGATAAAGAATCTCAGCCTATTCAGTTTACTGGAAGTTAGATAAATGCTATCTTGACACAAGATCTTGTAGTCTAACAGGAAGGAAAAGCAGTGCAACAACTATGCTAGCGGAAACAGTAGTCTGCATGGAAATCTTTGAAATAAAACCAGATATCTTTCTATATCTTTCTATAATGCATGTTTCTTAATTCAGGTTCCTGGAGAAAATCATATAGAATGGGCATGCTGAGAAATCAGACTAGGCTGTCACCTTCATATCCGCACTCTTCTTTTTTGGTTTTACTATTGTTTTACTACATTAAATGTGTGCAACAGTATGCACTTGGGAACTAATAAAAAGAAGTCTGCTATAGTTGGGCATAGCAACTGGGAATATCAGAGAAGGTGACAGAGTTGGGAGTATCAGAATTACTTCAGGTCACCAGTATGCGGCAGCTGTAAAGGACAAATGTGATCTGGGGCTATATCTGTCAGAGTATTCCAAGAGAAATGGGGAAGAACTAGTGTTATGCACATGGCTCTGGTGCTTAGGAAATACTGATTCAAACTGCAACAGGTGCAGAAAGCGAAAGGGAATTTAAAGCCTACAAGAAGAGACTGAAACACTGTGGCTTGTTTAACTTACAAGAAAAACCCCCAGAAACCCAAACCAAAACAATCCAAAAGAACAACAAAAAATAATGTTGATAGAATGACTCTTTCTAAAATACAAGAAGGGAAAAGAGCTACTTAAGCTAAAGGACAATATTGGGAAAGTAAATAGTCTGTTACCAAATTTAGGCTGGAAAATTGGATATTAGGAAAAATTTCCTCACCAAAAGCATTATCAAGCATTGGAACAGGCTGCCCAGGGCAGTGGTTGAGTCACCATCCCTGGAGGTATTGAGAAGACGTGTAGCTGTAGCGCTTGGGGACACGGTTTAGTGGTGGACTTGGCAGATTTAGGTTTACAGTTGGACTCGATGATCTCAAGGATCTTTTCCAACCTAAATGATTCTATGATTATGGTCTCAGTAGAAAGGTTTACGATATTGTCCGCCATAGCAGGAGATGTTGTCTGAAGACACAAGAGGTACTTTCCTGCCAATATTTCTAAGAAAAGTCCATAATTTCAATTCTGTGTGTTGAACAAATGGGAGTTCAGCTCTAAAACAAACATATGAACCTCTTAATTAAGAGGACTTGTTTGTCAAATACTTATTAATGTACTGTGTGAGTTTAATTGCAGGTCAACAAACAAATGTTATTTTCCTTATTTCAGATAGCCTAAGTAGCAGTCTCAAATAAAAACAAGTGTGCAAACCGCCTCTCAGCAGAAAAGAACAGCTTACTTACCTATTCATTCAGCAATCTAGTTTATACATACCACATTACAAAAAGTGTGGATTTTGTGTTTGTGAAGGCACCAGATTGATTGTTCTTAAAGTTGACAGCCTATTGTCTGGTACTACAACCACAGTGGCAGTAGAAACATCTTCCACACACTGCCCACGCCAGCAGCTTTCACTCTTGTCTCTAGGAAATAGCTGCCTGCCATTCAGTCCTAGCCTCCACTACTGAGAAAATTAGCAAGGACACTGGTGACCTGCAACCACGCTATGGAAACTTACCTACTGAGAACAGGAGCTAGATCAGCACGCACTTTCTGTGGAAGTCCAAGACCAACTACATGTGCTAGCTACAGTGGTGCCAGGTCACAATGGAAAATTTAGATGCAAAAGGTGCTCTCCACCTCATCAGTCACCTTGGTTATCTGAGTGCAGAGCTAAAAACAAAGCCTTTTTAACATCATCATTTCTCAAGAAAACTAGTAAAAGAAACGTCATGGCTTACAGCAGTTACAGCCCAATGCAGCGGACTTGAACAACTACTGAAAGTCAAAGCAAATCCTCTAGCTGTCATCTCACGTCCTTAAATTCTCACCTGCTCAGGACCCATGGAGGACAACCCTGATGTAGGCACAGAGGTCGCTGAGGTCATGCTGATCTGCCCTGTCATCTGGTTCATGTTGTTCATACCACTTGTGTTGGTTGCCATGGATACACTGATGTTCATGTTATTATTGTACATGCTGGTGCTTGCTTGCTGCCCAAAATGTGGTGGGGACTGTTGTGAAAACATGCTACAGCAAGGAATGGAAAAAGCAATGTGTCAGACTTAGAATGCTGAAGCCACTAAGACACTACTCTCTTTTTAATATATCTTAAGCTAGAATTTATATATACTGTTGTTTATTCCAACTTCAAAGGAAAAACTAGTTTTCAGCTATATTAATGTCTAAGGAATAGATTTTCAAAATTTAAGGCCCCATGTCTGTGCACAAAAATGCATGCCTTTGCGTGTGACACTATGGCAGAGTACAAATCTGTTATGTGTGTGCAATAACAGCCAATTAGCTGTCTAAATGGGCTTTGTATGTATTTTAAACATGTTTGGGAAAGTAATTTTTGGAGGGAAAAGAAAACACCTTTTTCCTCCTCCAGTGTTAGCACAGCACAAGATTGTTGAGCTGAAATTTGATCTGATCTAATAACCTGTCTTTTTGCAAAAGAGGCTATTTGCACATATGAATACCAGATTTGCACATACAATTATGGCAAGTGGGCTCACAAATATAGACATGCAATTGTGCAGAAAGTAATTTACTAAATCTTAGCATCAAGTTTTGAAAACATAGCACTGTAAGAAACAATGTAAAGTCTAAGACAGTTACCCTCTATGTTCCTTTAAAGCCATTTCAGAACAACTGAAGGAGGAGCAACTGCAGAAGATCTCATCCCAGATTTTATTCAAAGTCAAGTGCTTTCTGGGTAGTATATTCCTTCCCATTATGTTGAAAGTCATATGAGAGACTTTTTTTGTATTTCCTAAAACGCACTTCACTGTTTACGTGTCAATCTTTTCTACTCTTTGAGCATAATCCCACAGTCAATGAAGGATTTATTACTGACGATGTGTCTGTTTAGAGGATCTGCATTAGACTGAAATACTGTGGAAGGGCTACTGCGTGCTGGATGGCACACAGTAACCACCTCCGTATCAACGGCTGACTTTTACTTCCCTGTGAAGCACTGCTCCCACAGCTGAGGAAATCTTTCGGGGTTAACGCTCAACCTCGCACTTGGTACACCATGAGGCTACTGGTGTGCGCTGTGAGACGTGGTGGAAGGCAATGGCATTCTGGGCACAGGACCAGACTCGGAAAATCCCACCATTCTCTTCCTTCCAATTCCATGTCTTTTCAGGCCACCTAACCCCATTTTTAAGTTGTTATCTGGGTGGCTGAAACAGTACACTACAGATCATTGTGAATACTCAGTGGCTTGTGTAAACGCATCTGACATGTCTCCGCTGTAGAGGTGCAGTTTAGCAAGCCGACCATTAGTCTTACTGAGCTGCCCTGCTGCCGTTTCGGCAGAAGCCACGGCAGTGGTAGCTATGCCTCCTGCAGATGCTTTGGGAAGACAGTAAGGAAGAGGCATGGACAAGGATGGGGATCAGAGATAAATCAGTTGCTTTAAGAGGAACTTTACTTGGATCAGCCTCATCACAGAAATACTGTTTTTCTGAGTTTATTAAATCTTTGTCAACCAGTGTGAAAAAGACTTGTTTCTGGGCTGGGATAGTAAGAGCAGCGTGAGAACTTCAGGATGACAAAAGCACTGAGCTGGAGACAACCGTGTGCACCCCTGTGTCAAGCGATACAGGCTGCGCACCAACCTGATAGCTCCTCCTGCCCTCCACTGAAAAGCACGGACCATTGCCATCTGGAAGCTTGTTGCTGCCTGCCGATAGCGTTCAGCACCCAACCCATTCAATGTGGACAGACCGATTATTAGAGCTACACTGACTGGGGCATGGGCCTCAACTGAAATGGTGACTGCATGCATGAGGCATGCTACAATGCTCTCGGAGAATGACAGTTATATGCTGACCCGGGGTACGTGCAAGCACTAATGGATTGAACCTGGTTGCGCTCCAGCGTTTAAAGTGGGAGGTGATACCCAGTCACCGCAATTCCAGAGCAGCAGGGAATGCACAGGCTCCGGCTGAGCTGATCCAGACGTGTGGAAAGCAGTGTGGGAGCACATGAAAATCGTATGCAGAAGAAATGCATCCACACAAACATTAGGGGCTGGAGCTCACTGTGCAGCAGAGGTGCTTCTTAAGGACACACAGTGTTTTATCAGTTATCACAGACAAAGCGATGCATTGTGTGGATGCAGGTCTTTTAGCTATGCACTCACTTTGCCTTCTATGAGGACAGAATTTAAACCAACTCTTCAAGCCAAATTGAAAAGAAATCTCTTTTAGGATAGATAGTTAACAACAAACAAACAAGCCAACAATTACATATAAACATCCCCATAAGTAAGTGTAGACTATATGTGACCCTATTACTCTGTGTGTTCATTTTGGTTTTGTCCTGGATTTACCTGTTTCCACCCATATTCCCTTGTGCCCACCCATTCATCTCCGTAGAGGACTGATAGGCAGGATTAGCCTGAGACTGCTGAATCATGGGGCTTTGAGTATGAGCCAGTCGTGGGGACATCAGTGGACTCTGAGGAGTGGTGGCCCCTGTGAAGCCTGGATCAGGCTGCTGACTAATACCTGAAGAAGAAAATGAGAAATTTAGCCACTGTGCATTCAAAGTTAGAGCAAGCCAAGAGCTTATACGTGCAGACATGCCTTTACACAGTCCTACTTACGCCATGTGGAACCTATAACCTTGTGTCTTAACATGGGATCCAGATTAAAAGCAAGACATCATCAACTGATACTTATGTATAACCTTAAAAATATCATTTTGCATAAGTATGTCGGCTACCTGTGCGTCCTAATCACACAAGCGAACTCTCCTCTCAACAGACCAAAAGAACAACACTGGTAAGTGACTTTTTTTTTTCTTTTTTTTTCCAGAAACTGCATTCAAAGCAACAAATAAAACATTTCGGTTTTGTTTATAAATGCATTTTGGTGAAAGTTATGCATGACCCGTGTACTGCATGGCACCATCTTTTAACATTTAGGCTATAATTTTCAACTTTTTCTAAAGTTCCTAGAACCTCAGTATCTCTATTTCTGTGTCCCTGCAAAAATATGCAACGACATTTTGTGCAAGCATTTAATGACTTTGTAAAATAAGAAAAAAAATCTAGATGCAAAGAAAACCTAATTTAAGCTGTAAAATGCCAATGTGTGCAGAAATTTTGTTTTAAACCAAGTCATTTTGGTCTTGTTTAGGTTCATCACGAACCTCAACAGAAACAAGCCACTCTTAATGCTGGCATAAGAATCAGGTGGTATGAAATCTACTCCTATATTCACTGTCTGCATGACTTAACATCTTACTGGTGTAAAGGAGAACAGATCAATAAGAGCATATCTCAAATTTAGAATTGGATGGACATAATTTGTTATATCAGCAGAACAGGCACATTACATATTATTTAATATAATTGTAATATAACTTATACAACACTTATAAATAAAGAAGCTGTATAACAATAATTGCATGGAGGTAACTGGCCCATGCACCCCCAGAACAAAGCAGTATACAGCTTTGTAAAGCACACAAACAAAGTGGGTTTAGCTATCATATTACACACAAGTTTAAGGACAGGAAAGGGAATACCTACTCTGAAAGAAATTTTTATTATTTAAACTCAATAGTTAGTCACTAATTTTACATTATAATGCACACATGAAGAATTATCTTTTTGGGGGAAGAATCTATCTGATACTTAAGCAAGTATCTCATTACCAAAACACAAAAAATCCCCACCACCAATATAAAACCGATTTAAAAGGATTATGTACAGCTTTGCTTCTGATGAAGCTTCTGGTCACCTTACGCTGTCTGACACCATCAATTCCTATCTTTTTCTTCATTTGCACTTTTTACTGTATATATTGTTGAGTTTAGTAAAAATTCAAAGTCCATCAAGCCAATACATACACGTATATGTGTTCCTGTGTGCATACACATTTGTATGTGTTGATATGTATAGATATACGCAAACACACTCATCACACTTCTGCTACTGCTCAAAGAAAGAGCAGTGCTCAGAGAGTAAGTGGTACTAGACCTAAGAAAGTGGAAGGTACCACGTTGCGTGAGGACTCCCAAGGGGTCTGAAGCTCCATGTTGCCCATCGTTCCCAGGGAGCCAAGGAAGGGGCTGGGGGAAGGGGCTGGGACCCAGCACTGCGGGGGACATGGGGAAGTAATGACTGCCAAAATGCACTGGGGGGGTGGAACCAGTACCGTAGTTTGGAGGAAACGGAAACTGCTGTGCATTCGCCTGCGGGATCCGTGGATTGCTCATGGTTGCTGGTATGCCACCGGTGGCCACCATGCTGGGGGTCATGCTCAAGCCCTGCCCTCGCATCATCAGCGTCCGCTGCTGCACCTGCTGCTGCTGCTGCATCTGCCGCCCTCCGCCCGCGGCGGCAGGTGCGGTCTCAGGATCTCCCGCTGCCTCTGCGCCAGCATCTGCGCGTTGATAGGGCCCTGCAGGGAAAACCACCGCCACCTATCAATAACCTCTTCTAAGGCATCTCCACTGGAGTAATCTGGAAGATTCCAGCTCTTTTTTTTCCCCCACCACACAACTAACAATAATATTAAATTGGAAAAATAATCCTATTGATACTTCTGCTGGGAAAGACTTTCAACAGCGCAAGAGTCAGTAACTGAAATAACACCAGTGCTTAATGTTGCTGCAATTTGTAATTGCAAACAGAGTAGCTCATTAATAAAAAAAGCATCTTTAAGAAATGAGAAGCTTGGTTAAAAATGCAATTATATCATATCTCTAGTAAATAACGATCTATCCCATGTAAATATGGGAAAGACTCTCAGAAATAAAACAGTAAAATACTTCTTATAATACAGACTGCATTATTCATATTCAAGCTTTAGAATTTATTGTATGTATTTACCATATAGCATTACTACTGTGCTAATTTGGAGGAGAAAGAAGAAAACAAAGTGATTTTTTTTTTTAAAAGTACTATTTCTCTCACCTGCGTTGGCACTCCAGGTCTCAAAGACAGATTCATATTGGAGACACTGCTGATCTGATTTATCAGTGGCTGCCGATTCTAAAGAAAAAACCCCACCACCAAACCCAAGAGTTTTTAGAAGGAAAACAAGAAAAAGAAAATTTTACATACAGAGGTATATACATCAGTTAAGTTTGAGGACCTAGTTTTACATATTCAAGCAAGGACTAGTTTTCCGGTTCAAGTCCTATTATCATTCACAGAATCCCGTTTCTTAAGGGGATAATACATCATATAAATAACAACGCAGGCACTATGCTGTTTACCAAACACGCTGCCTTTACAGCTCCTGTTCTGTTTGAGTCTGGGACTGGCCTGTTGAGGTTTATTCTGAATTAGACCCTATCCTGATGTTTGAAGAAAGACACTTCCTCCTCCACTACAAAAACATTAATTATTTATTTGTAGCTCTGCAAACCTATATATTTAAACATGAAACAAGAAACAACAACTTAAAATGATCCTCAAAAGTAGGCCAAGGAAAAAAATAAAGGATGTTGGTAACAGGCAGCAATAAAAGAATTTAGATTGCTGGAAGAGTCAAGAGAACACAAACAGAAAAAGACTTATATAACAAGAAGCACCTCTGTAGCCTCGCTCAAACAGTTAGTGAAGCCTAGGCTTAAATACTAGGCACATTCTTGCACAGTATTATAGAAAGAAAAATGGAAAGATGCAAAAAAGATAAAAGAGAAGAATGCACAAGGTACTGTCTCGGCAAACTCATTATGGCTAGTGTTTTTAGTTTAGAAGTGGAATTAGACTATAATAAAACAGGGCACACAATTAAGACCTGGTCTGCTTGGAGCAAGCTGGCAGTCAGTAGGCGCCACGTGAAACCGGGCACAGAAGGGGACGTACCTGCTGCGCCTGGAGTTTTTTTTTGGGAGCCGCAGCTGGTTTGGCTGGTTCTGGACGATGCCGGCGGGCCGGAGGCCGGCCCGGGGCTGCATGCGTAGGGCTGTGTACCCCGGGCGCTGCCCCATGGGGTGG